TTGTGCACCAAAACCACATCTTGCTGAATAATGAGTAAGCAATATATATTTTGGCAATAATTTGCTATCAACGCGTAATGCTTTTCTGTAGATATACATGCTGGAGACATTGGAAGGGATGGTCAAGATTTAATTGCATTAAGAGATGAGTTTTAAAATCGTGAGATTTTATTTCAGTTTTGTGTCGAAAATTTTCTCAATTATTTGAAATTTATTAGTGAAGTTGCTGGAAGGGTACTCTGACATGGAGTTTTCTTATTTATCAGCTTTTATCCATGGTGTTGATGATTATTCAGTAATGTCATGATAACAACATGTCAATTTTTTCCACCACTTATGAGGTTAAACAGTAAGTCCTGATAATGTTCTAATAGAAGTGTAAAAATATTTAGGAGATTTGAGAATTGTTTGTCATACTAAATTTTTTTAATATTATTTTAAAAATTAAAAAGATGACTTACTAAAATTTTTTAATATTATTTTAAAAATTAAAAAGATGCATGATGAGTGGAGAAAGAGTCTGTTAGTTAATATTCTTAAGAATAAAAGAGATATACAATAGTGCAAATTATAGAAGAATTAAGTTAATGTATCATACATTGAAGTTATGGGAGATGGTATTGAACACATGATACGACGTGATCCAAAAATTTCTCAAATTTAACTTGTATTCACGCCGGACAAGTCTACTATGAAATATATACATTAATTGAGTGGTTTGATGGAGAAGTACAAAAAGAGTTAGGAGAAAATACATATGATTTTTGTTGATTTAGAAAAAGCTTATATGATAAGATTCCAAAAGAAGTAACTTGGAGAGTCATAGAAAAGAAAGGTGTTGATATTACTTATATTCAAGCGAAGTAACTTGGAGAGTCGTAGAAAAGGAAGGTATTGATATTACTAATATTCAAGTCGTTAAATATGTGTATACTAGAGTTGTTACTTATGCTCTTACTGGACATTTATAGGAGGATATACCTTGGTGTTTGTTTATGCTGAAGATATTCTTGTTGTGGATAAGACTAGAGAGAGAGTTCAAGAAAAAAGTTGAATTATGAAAGTCATTTTTAGAGTCTAAAGTCTTTTGTTTGAGTAGATCTAAAACTGAATATATGGAATATAATTTTATTAGTTGTAGATCTAGTGGCGGGATTGTAACAATAGTTAAAAGGAGTGAATGTTCTAGATATCTCAACTCTTTGGTTCAAAGTGACCGTGATATGGATGGGGACGCTTTTAGTAGAATTCATGTTCGATGGTTGAAGTGGAGGAATGCATCGAGCCTATTGCTTAATAGAAAAGTACCGCTTAAACTTGAAGGAAAATTTTATAAGATAGTGGTGAGACTTGCAATGCTTTATGGAGTAGAATGTTGGCTTGTAGAAGAGAAGTATAGGAGTAAGTTAAGTGTTGTTGAGATGAGAATGCTCAGGGGGATGAGTGACTCTACACTTACAGACAAAATGTGAAACCAATGTATTCATGAAAGGGTTGGTGTAGCTCCAGTGGTAGACATGATTAGAGTGAGTCGTCTTAGATGGTTTGATTATGTTAAACTTCGAGCATCTGAAATCTCAATTAGGAGAGTGGATGGTTTAGATTTGACTTATGTTAAGTTAGAGATAGGCTAAAAAAAACTTGGGATTGGGATTGTTGTATAAAAAATGATCTCATTTTATTAGAATTAAATGAAAATGACTCTCAATAGGACACAATGAAAAAAAAGTTTCATGTAGCCGACCCCCCTTTGTGGGATGAAGTCATTGATTGTTGTTGTCATTATTTTACTTATGAGGTTAAACTCCTCGTGTTGAGCCGAAGTTCAACATTGTTGGTAAAATTGCTACTAGAGGTCGATGTTCGAACCTTTTCTCCAAATAAGAAATTGTCCACATAAAAGATTAAAATGTTGTTACCAACAAGTTGTAACTTGGAACAATCATTTCCTCTTTCTGTTTATATTTTAGTTTATCATTATTTCATAAAATGTGCCTGACTTTCTCACCATTTATAAACATGTTCAAATTTTCACTCTACATTGTGGAGGATTAATGGTGGATATTTTCTATGAAATGATATCAAGGATTTGCCTTAAACTTCTAATTTTTGGTGTGCTATATTGATCTTTATAAAAGATATTCTCAATAAGGCACACTTGTCTGTGGTATTTGTAGTCATTATAATTTTGATGGCGAGACCACTTGTAAATGAAGTAGATTACAAGGTAGAATAATTGAGAAATTTTTTATGATAACAGGTTTATGTTGATTAGATTAATGGTTGAATCTATGATATGCAATATCAGGAGATGCAAAATCAATATTTACTAGTTAAGAGTGTTAGAAGATAAAGTGACATTTGTTCGATTTAAGTGCATTAAATTTATTATAGGAAAGAATAGGAATATAGTTAACGATATAATTTCTCGAGTTATAGTTGTCAGGGTAAAATTGAATTGTGTCTTGAGAGTATTTGTGATAACTGAATATCATGAAAGCTTGATGATTTAGTTTATAAAACTGCTATTATATTACTTAGATATTCAAATAATTTAGTGATGATAATGCATGGTGTATGATGATGAGTCCAAGTGTTTGGCAACACGAAGAATTTATTGACTACCAAGTTGAATGTGGCTTAAATTTGAATGCCAAGAAACGTGTTAAACCTAATAGAAAGAGCGATAAATGGTAGAAGTAACACTCAATAAAAGAAATGAAATCTAAATAGGCTTTTAGAGAATTTGATCATATACTTTAGAGGAAATAATGAGGGTAGATAGAATATTTATGAAAGTAATAAGAGAGGAATGAGGGATAGAACCAAGTGAAAAGCTAGAGTTTGTGCAAAAGATGTATAAATCAAAGTTAACGTCTCATAACAGAAAAGAAGTACACATAAAGACGATCATTAAATTTTAGCAATAATGATGCATATTATTCTTTTGCCTAAGAAATAAGTTACATGAGTTATGGCCTTCTTTTTTGTTTTTAGAACTCTCAACTCATTTCTAGTAATTTGCATTGCGGACTCTTTGATCTCTGTTCATTTACTAGAAAAGTTGTTACTATTTTATTAACATCTTTCCTTTGATAGATCAGTTCTTTAGTAAATGCCCGATGAATGTGGTGTTCGGAATGCTTGAAAAAATAATTTTTTGGGATTTGCTTGAATATTATATGATTGCTTGAAGGATTCTGAGTAATAGAGACAAGCATACAACTCAGAATGATTGATTAAATTTGCTCCCATTCAGAGAAGAGGACAGGGATATCAATCTGCATAAAAAAAAAGGTTTAACGAAGAAAGTTGGTTTTTCAGCTAAAACCAGCTAGGTTTTTTTTGGGGCATTTACGTGTTATACCATACAATTCTTATACATATTTTACCCCTGAAGTTTTATATTTACATGCATAACATTTATATCTTTAACACACGTCAAGATGCTTGTTGGAAAGTTGGTTTTTCAGCTAAAACCAGCTAGGTTTTTTTTGGGGCATTTACGTGTTATACCATACAATTCTTATACATATTTTACCCCTGAAGTTTTATATTTACATGCATAACATTTATATCTTTAACATCACGTCAAAATGCAACTATTGCAAATTTTTGAAAATGAAGTACACGTTTTCATATATGGGTTTTGGCACTAAAGTGTTATAACATAAATATTAAACTTTAGGTTCTAGATATGCAAACACTTAAAAAATGAGTGTTATGTAAATTTCCCTTCTTTTTTTACTCAAATCTTGTTGCATAGAGAAGCAAGACTTAGTAATTGTTTGAGATTGATAACTATTTCTTCCTCAAAATTCAGTCAGTTTAAAATAACCTTTTCTGTTAAAATGTTATTTACAAAATGTTTGCCTTTGGTTTTCTAGCTCCTTTCTTTATTCATATTGGACATTGATTTGTACCAAGTATGATTATCCTTGTCTGTCAATCTACTTCTCATCAATTTATGGACCAATTATTTGAGTTGATATTGGGAAGTGAAATAATTTCCTGCACCAAAAAATTTCAATTCTGTTACTATTGACCGTTGCCATGCTACTTCAGGCGACCAAATTCCAATGTTTTTACTTTTCTATATGAAGCAGAATTGATGCTAAAATTGGATAACTATTTTTGTTTTTTTTATTGGAACATTTACATATTTACCACTCAATTCCTGTGTATCTACATATCTAACACATAAACTTCAATTTTTGCATACGTACTACCTTACACATGCATCAAAGGTGTATTTCACTTTGTAAAAGTTAAAAATGTGGTATTTTTTGTGATATGAAAGATTTGGGTGCTATATGTTATAAATATAAAAAAAAATTAGCTTTTAAATATGTAAATACATAGGAGTTGGGTGGTGTGTATGTCGATTCTGAACTGGCTATAAATATTTGATGATAGAATCAAGTTTTCCTTCTATTTTATTATAATTTATAGTAGCTATTCCTTCTGATATCTCTTGTCCTTCCATGATTTTGCTTGTTTCATATCATATGGCATTTTGCAGAATACACATTGGAAAATCCAAAGATTACACTGTTGTGCTCTCATCATTTCCACCTAAGTTGCATTTATGAATGGATGGAGAGAAGTGACAAATGCCCATTCTGTGGCAAGGTAACTAGCCTTCATTTGAGACTTCAATTATTCATAACATTTTTTTTTCAATTTTCGAAATGTCTTAAATATTTACCTACTTTGGATGTCAATCCAACAATATCTAACTATTATTTGTTGCTAATTAACTAATTTACATATGGAGAAAAATCATTGTAATAGTTGATTTTATTTGCTGATTAATGAAATGTCAAACATATTCGTTGATGCTATGATTAACATACTAAGCAACCTTGTTAGCATATTCTTATCATATCATAGCTTCTTATCATAAATATATCCACATTTGGATTTCTTATTTGACTTTGGGTCATTATATTATGTATGACAATCTTGCTGAGATTGATGATATACATTTGAGGTTTAAATAAAGGGGAAAACATAACACCCAACTCTTGTAACTTTTGTTTAAACTATTGAATCAGTTTATTCGTGCGTGTCTTGATCAGATCATTGGAATATTGGAAAAAAAAAGGAAACATAGGCTGGGGTTTTGTTGTGTGGGGGAGAATTTTATAAGTGGAGTTAGGAGAGTGTTAGTTTTGTGGCCAAAATTTGACGGTTATATATGTGATTGCCTCATAAAACACGGTGAAACTTAGGGTAGCCGGATTTAGGTAGGATATACGTAACACTTTACGCAGATCCAACCAAAAAAAAAAAATTCGGCGAATTTAAATTCGAACTTTGTTAAATTAAAAATTTCTGCATTTCCGTTAGTTTTTTAACGTAAATTTGGATTTAGTTAATTTGATTAATACATGGATTTAATTGATTTGGCTTCGGAAGAAAATCACAGAGGTGGATTTATGCCAAAAATGATAAACCATTTTAATGGATTTAGCCTTAAATTGAACCAAACACTATTCTGAATTTCAACATTTATCAGATTTACTAAATCCTATTTAACCAAAATCTTATAGGCGGTCAAACACCCCCATGGAAAGATCAAAGAGTGTTTGCTTAATATAGCGAAATGTGCAAGGAGCACTTTTACAATTGATCATGTTCAATATATGAGCCGGCAATGTATGCCGATGAAGATGAAATCTGATAGACTTATATGAAGAATTTGCCACATTGCACTTTGTCTAGTTTGTTTCCATGATTATTTTCATACTAATCTACTCCTGCTAAAAATTCAAATCCTAGATGTCAATATCATATTTATTCTACAATTTATGTATCTCCATCCACTTGGAAAGCCTCCTTAATAAATTTAAGAAACAGGAAGATTTACATACATACTCACTCGATTTCTATACATTTACATAACTAATACCTAAACTTCGGTTTTTACACACATACCACATTGCCTATCCATTTTAAAAGTTAAAATGATGTTGTTTTTGATGTGATATGAAAATTTTGGGTGGTATAAATATCAACAGGAAAGTTTAGGTGTTAGATATGCAATGGGCATTTACGTACATAGCACCCAATTCTTATTATTTGTATTTCTCACACAAAGTTTCATATTTACATGAAAATCACTCAAATCTTTAATATCATATTAAAATAGAACTATTACCTCTTTTAAAAAGTGAAATACACATTTTCATACATAGGTTTAGAGCACCAAAGTGCTATGTATGTAAATATGAAATTTTAGGAGTGATATATGCAAGTACAGAAGTATTTTGCGCTACATATGTAAATTTTCCAATATATGAATGCAGAAGGAATGAGTGGCATTTATATAGATACCCCTAAAGACCTTTGTTCTTCGGATTATGAGTTTATCAATGAGATGGACCCATTAAAATAAATCTCAATATGAAAATAAGTGATTTTAAACCATTCCTTGTGCATTTTCTTCCTGATATTTATTCCTTTTGTTTTCTCCATTGCAGGTGATGCTATTCACTGAATCACAATGAAGTTATAATCATCCAATTTAATTTTTTTTTCCTGATATTTTTGGAGAAAATCTTCTGCTCTATGAAAAGAAAAGCATGATCATGTCTACATCATGCACACAGCCTTTGTTGTTGGTTGCATTTTGTAAAGGAAAGGTAATTAAACAGAGATTTAGAGCCTTCACATTTGTACAGATACTTGACCCACTTTTTCACTTTTTTTTGCTGTTGCTGTATATTGTAACATTCTGAAGATTTAAAATGATTTGGAATGAGATAGATGTTGTACAGAAATTGTTTGCTGGTTGTTTTTCAATGAGTTTTTACATGATTTTGATTAATTTTGCATTTGTGACCTGAGTAATGGAATTGGTGTGGTTGGTTTTCTTCTTCAATCAGTTTGATGACTCAACTGAACTTTTCAGACTGAAATTTATTGTTATTTTTTCAGCAGAGATTCATTTATGGTGATTTTTCATGATTGTAGTCTGTAGACCTTTCTTATTTTACTGCATCTGTTAATTATTGAATAATGAAGCTGTGTACTCTTATTTTTGCATATTACCACCTTATCTATACATGAAAGGGTGTATTTCATGTGTAAAAATTAAAAAGATTGTATTTTTGATCTGACATGAAAGCTTTGGGCGGTATAAATGTAAAAAAAGTAAAACTTCGGTGCTAGATGTGTAAATACAGAGGAATTGGGTGATATGTATGTAAATGCCCCAAAAAACAAACTCTTATTTAATCAACTAGTATATTAATCAGCTAAGAGTGATAGCTTCTTTATCATTATTCAGTAGTTCAAGTTTTGAGTTTAAATTTTATTGTCCAAAGAGGTCTACTGTAGCAAATAAATTGAGGCCAATATCTTAAAATCTACATGAGCTGACCCTTCTATTTTTCTTAAAGAAGTGTGGTGAAAAATTATTACACGCGAAGTCTGTATGCATACGCATTCTGTACAATAGTGTGTAACACGTGTAATGATTGACAAAAATATTACGTATGGAGTCCACATGCATTCATGTTCAGAGAAAGACAACTTGCTTTTATATATATATATATATATATATATTTCTATTATTAAATATTATTATTATTTAATTAATGTATTATTTACAGCTTAAAATTTTACCCACATTAAGAAAATTGACTGGTTAATTTAATCTAAATAAAGTATAATTAAAATATAATTTAAATTTTATTAATTATTTTTTTTGTATTTTATTAACTAAAAAATAAAAAAAAATAAATTAACAAAACCAAATAATAAGAAAAACAATGAGTTCCACTGAGGAGAGCTCGAATTGAAGCTCCACTAACTAATTCAAAATGCTCTCTTAATTATGCTTAGTTCCAACATTAATGGGAGATTGTTATTTAACAAAACATATTAAGACTGTTGGACTTGTTAAATGTAATTAAGTTTTATATTATCTTAATTATTTAAGTTTAAGTTTTATATTTGAAGTCAATGTTAATTGATTTGTTTAACAAGATTTTTATTTATTATATAAATTTGAAAAGATAAAAATCATACATGTCCTTTCTAGTAGAAAAAATATTATATATTACGTGCGGCAGATCACATGTTCAAAGAGACGGTCCAGATGCAGTTTCATCGCCGTATTTGACATTGAACCAACGAGAAATCAAATTGAATCTATTAGGTCAAATTGACTTCTTTTTGGTTCAATCTCTATATCTTTCTCTATCACTGAAAGGGGAATATAACTTTTATTTTTTAGGGGAAATTATGTAAAGGAGCACGTATATAATTTATTTACATGAAAGAGTTACTAAAAAAAAGAAAAAAAAATATATAAGAGCAATAGATTGACTTCATAAAATGAATCCTTAAAAGGGGAAAATAATACGGGTATGAGTAGATAAGAGACGTGATATATTGGACAATATTTTATCGCGTCTGTTGTTCGGAAGTAATATTTTATTTAGAAAATAATCCTTAGTATATGATGACCCTAATCCTGCAATCGTGGAGCCGTTAGTCTCTCGAACCATCTGGAATCTTCTTCATCCTCTTCGCTTTGTCTTCTTTGTTAATTTTAAAGATCTTCCATTATTTTAATATCCAAGTGGGTAACTCCCCTCTGGTTCGTCTGTTCCTCCTGGTCTGTTTCATCTGGTTCCTCTCTCTCTCTGTCTCTCTGTGTCGGTTTCGTCTGTTTTTCCTCAAGTAGTATTCTAGTTTTTGCTTGAGAAGGACACTTGGCTACAGTTTTCATTTTGGGATCCCAATTTGGAAGATTTCTGGAGGTAATACTGATTTAAGATGCGACGATTTACTACCTTTGATAGTTATTTTCTTGGCGAAGACGCATTAGACGTTTTGAGTTTGATCGTATTTGTTTGGGTTTCCATTATCTTCCGCTTTCAGGGTATAATACGAAGACGGAAGTTGGGAACTGTGTGTCGGGATCCCCGTTCAGAAGCTTGCGGAAGGTAAATCCAGATGGCGTGATGAGCCGATCTTTTATCTCCGTAACTTGTTTTTATTACGGCATTGTTGTTTATGTAATATAGTTGATCGTTTTGAACAGCAAGGAGGGTTGGGAGATGGATGCGGATGGGGTTTTGTGCGAGTTGCAGCCCGTGAGCTTCCCGATGAAGAGTGCGATTTATGTTTGGGGGTACAACCACTGCGGGCAAACTGCCAGGAAGGGGGAGGAATGTCAGTTGAGGATCCCGAAGCGGCTTTCTCCCAAGCTATTTAATGTGCCGGGAGGGAGGAGTTTGCGATGGTTAGATGTTGCGTGTGGCCGCGAGCATACTGCAGCTGTTGCGTCGGACGGGTCTCTGTACACATGGGGTTTGTCTCGTAACTTTTGTTGTATCGTTTAGTGAGCTTTTTACACTTCAATGTTCGAAAGTTTATAATTTGAAGTTAGATGGGCGTGGAGGCGAACAAAGTTTAAGTGCGCGTTAACTGCTTGTTTTGGGATTGAATTATTCATAATCCTTGTGTTTTCTGGTTTCTTGAATCGTACAGCTTTAGATCTCCTATTATTCCTTCTGTTTTAATTCACATCTGATACTAAATGAGATGCAAAAAAAAAAAAAAAAAAAAAAGACTGCTTGTTCGTTTGTGTGCTTGGTTGCTTCTTGCAGCGGGCCGAACATATCTTTTTAAAATTGGAAAAGAATCAACGATGAAGAGTGTCTCATTTAATGAGAAGCTTTGCTAGTATCTATCATTCACGTCGTATGCGGCATTGTTGAGCATAATCTGTACGATATAAGGATGACAGAGTTCTACACTGAAAAACATTCTTCACTAACCTGCAGAATGTTCTATGTTTGGTGCCATGACGGTTCCATTAGATGGCAAGCATCATTAATCCAAATTCTAGCAGCTTCTCTGTAGCCCAAAAGTCTTAAGGAGGTGATGGACTCCGTTTATCTGATTATATGATTCCTCAGATTTTTCTTGTTTTCACTCTTGTTGTTCTTATATTTGGTTGATGAATCACTTCCTTGCCATGTTGTGCGTTTTGCATAGTGGACATAGAGAGTTCAACAATGTTTTATGAAAAAGAAGAGATATCTTCGTGTATTTTACACGAAACAATAACATTTTGACAGTTTTTTAGGTGGTATCTATTCAGTAGGAGTGCTTCTAAATTATATTGTGTTACATATGGTTGTTGCTGGACCCAAATCCATTTGTGGATGACTTGTGAATCTTAGGGTGTGTTTGGGGCAACTGTTGCTTTTCCTAGAAGTTGCTTCTTAGAGAAGAACTTGTCAGAAGCTGTTAGAAAGCTTTTGATGAAGAAACAAGAGTCTATTTGAGAGATTTGTTGTGCTGCAACTATTTTTTATTAGAAGATTTATTTTGCCCTTATATATGTAATATTTTAGAAGAAGTACAGTTTTTAGAATAATTATAATTAAATAACAGTAAGATGTCCTACTATCAGAAAAACATCAATTAGTGCAAAATACTCTAATACATAAAAAGGTGAGCAGTTACTTGAAACATATAGATATAATAATAAAGATAATAATAGTAACTATCAGACCTAGAATGATGTTTGTCTTCAGTTCCTGATGATCAAGTTTTCGGGATAATCTCCTATTCATGCTAGCATCTCCCTCGCCTGATCACGGCCTGGAGGGAACTCATCAGTGTCATCAACTAAACGGAAAAAGTCGCAATCTACAGGAGTTCTGTTTCTGAAACAAATGTAAAAGCTTTTTCCATAGTTGCCTTTCATTCTTGATTGATGCTGAACACCCCTATAGCCACAATGACAGGGCAAAACTTTCGAAGTACTGATGCTCTTGAACTCATATTTCCTGTTATTATAAATAGCTTTAATTAAAAAAAATAAGCAATATAACCTTCAAAAAATATAAAAACATAGAAGTCTTAAAATAAAAAATAAAGGTTGTCAGGTCATAAAAAACTACAATACAGATTGTTACAAATATTTAGAAAATATATATCCAAAGAACCAACATAGCGTTGAAATATGAATCAACAACAAATAAATAGGGATATTTCTCTCAGGAGTGAAGTGCTCATTTGTACTAAAGTCCTCTTCAAGCAATGAAGGTCCGACCTGATGATGGTTAAGTTTCCTCAAACATGTAAATTGGATCTTCATCTAAGATCTTGAAATCGTTATCATTTGAAGATAAATGCCTTCGTATAAAATTATGGAGTGTTGTTGTTGCAACAATTATCTTCACATATTTTTTGAAAGAATATGTAGGCATATCTCGGAGTATGACACAATTTTTCTTCCATACACCGAATGCTCTCTCGATACACTCCGTAATGACAAGTGTCTTTTGTTGAAGAGTTTATTCCTCCCTCTAATCATCTGACTGTTGCACTCAAAATTAGGAATTTGATTCTTTGTGTTGGGAAATAGCTTTAAAAACCTCCGTTGCAATGAATATCTCGAGTTGACTAGGTAATATTTTTCTGAATATAGGCAATACTAGTTGATTAGTTCAAATGGAAATATTATAATATGACTAAAGTGCACCAACCTTGAGGAGGCATCGGGAATTTGTATTCACGCCATTTGGTTATAAATTTAAAAACTCTTTTGTCGTGTGCACTCTCTTTCCAGCCTACCATCAGAAATGTAAAACACATGTTGAAATCACATACTGTTAATATATTATGTGTAGTAGCCCACACCTTCCGATATATGCTATTTTTTCTCACCGCTAACGCGTGCATCGACATGTGTGACATCAATTGCTCTTCTGTAATTATTTTTAGAGAAAAATGTTACAATATAGGTTATTAATAAATTTTGTTTATTGTAGTAATGTTAGATTAACTAAATGAAAATATGTTTATTGTGTTAAACATATTTTCATTTATTGTGTTAAGAAAGGCAGAGGTAGACCTAGGAAGACTTGGGCTTATTGTATTAAAAATGATCTTAATTTACTAGAACTAAATGAAAATATGACACTAAATAGGACGCAATAGAGAAAAAGGATTCATGTAGCCGACCCCACGTAGTGGGATTAAGGCTTTGTTGTTGTTGTTGTTGTAGTAATGTTAGATTAAATAAAGATCAAAACATTAAAAATGACATGTATCTCGGATCGCTGTGGATTTCCCGAGGTATTTGCGCAAAAGTTGGGTCTAATGGTTTGACATTGTCATTCGACATTTTCACCAGAGAGTTCACCCTGATGTGAAAATATCTGCTGGTTATCTCTTTAGAGTGTTAGAAACACTCAGAAGCAACACAAATCGACTCATTGTGTGACATAATTAAAAACGTGATGATTAAAACTTCTCGGGATGTAAATCGTGAAGATCTGTGCAAATCATATTTGGATTGAAATTCATCCAGTAAATAGCAGAATATAATTTTTGACATCAGAAGTATGTTATGAATTAGTCAACCCATTTGTTACCTAGAGATGACGATGACATCCAAAGTGTTTTACATGAGTTTTTCTGATAATACTCATGAATTGGATAAACTATGCTAGTAATGATAGTTACTCACTCAACTATCTCTATAATCTCCTCTTTATTTGGTGGCTCCATTTGTCTGAAAGAAATTTGTTTAAAAAGAATAGGTTATTTAAATAACAGGAAAATGCTTAAACTAAGCAATGAAAGCAGTACAATTACGTAAAACTACAATTATTTAGATGTCAGAAATAGTTGAAACAAGACATAGTCCACGATGGAAATGTTAATTAGTAAAAATAAGCAATATGATATAGTAGCAACAAATAAAAAATTAGAGGGGTGTGTCATCTAGTTAGTCTGACTCTCTAAGAAATAATAAAGGTAAGGAATTGTAGTGTAAGGAAAGTCCCCCGCTTATTTTGGTCCTCAGAAGTTTTACAACAAATAAGTAGAGGGGCATGTTACCAAAATTGTTTGGGATAGAGCCGAGTAACTTGACAAAATCTGTCATAGTTGGGTATGCATGTAGAGCTGTGCAGACACTAGTTATGATACTGGTGCACTTTGTCACCAGCTGTGAGATATGCTAGGATAAGTTAGTCGCCTTAACCTTAGTTTTCTTTTTCCTTTTCTATGACGAGGGTGCAGGACGTTTGGACTAACTGGATTCCCCTTGCTCTCTTTTCTCTTGTTGTTCCTCATGGACCTCATTGGAATGAGCACATTTGGGCTCATCCAAATTCTAAGTGGGCTCTTGTGTTGTAGCCCAGGCATTGACGTCTCTTGCTACAACACCGAGGAACATAGTATCTAACTTTTCCAGCTTCGGGTCAATACCAATTAGTCTAAATTTTTTAGCGTTCGACATGACCTTCAATTAACAAACTTGATTTTTAAGAATCATAATTTTAAATTAATTACTATTGAATGTAAGATTTTCTACTTGCTGAAATTTTTTTTTGCCACCACTCCTCTGGTGCATCAACTGTTTTACTAATAAGATTCCACCCCAAACCAGTAGCCCCTCTCTTTAGCTCCTTCAATAACTTTCTATCATTTTTAAGTTGATCTCATTTGTTTTTCAACTTAGTTTTGTCGTATAGTTTACCAATTCTTTCTTGAAAGTGTTTCGTGATATTTTACAAACCTTCTTTATTGAAGTGTAGGACCAGTTTATTATCATTTTCTACCTCTTCAAGCATTAATCACAGAAAATTATCTTCGTCTTCCAATCCCAAATAGTAGCTATATCACATTCCTTTTGTTTATTCATCTGATATATAAATAAATAAGAAATAGTGTTGAAATAATATTATTTAGCATGTAAAACAACAATACTTGAAGAGAAAACAAATATAATAAAGTTGATTTAAAAATAGAGTTCAGATTCAAATCAATAATATCAAAAAGTGCTCCATCCAAGATCACCAATTGTGTACTTTAGGCATAAAGAACAATCAATATCTGTGTCAAAGTTTTAGGGTCATTTTTCACAATTCATAATTGGTAATCGGTTGAGCTTTTGTTTTATTTTATTTCATCATTGCTCTACAAAATATTTCAGAATAAAACTAAAATATGTCACTGAAACAAACTCGAAAAGCATCATTACGAATGAAAACCAACAAACTTATGGGTCCACAAACCATCCGAAGCAGATCAGATGAATCTCAAAAATCATGATAGATAAGTTAATATCTATTTTCCCTCATGATCATCATGAGAAGTTATGAAATGATAGATATATGAGGATTATTTTTCTGTTTCTCTGAGAATTTTTTTTGGACTTATTTTTTATATGTCTGTTCTCATGTTAGTAATTGTTAGTTTGCTTGTTATTGACTCTTCTTTAGTCTAGGGGAACATTCAGGGGAGAGAAGTTTGAGAACCGGTTCTATTTTTTTTTTTTTTTA